AAAGGTGATTTTAAAGGATGTGGACTCACTTCTCTACGTGGACACTGACGTTCTCTTTCTGAGGCCTGTTGATGACATCTGGAAGCTTCTGAGGCAGTTTAATTCCACCCAGCTTGCAGCCATGGCCCCAGAGCATGAAATCCCCAAGATTGGCTGGTACAGCCGCTTTGCTCAACACCCTTTCTATGGCTCTGCAGGAGTTAATTCAGGAGTCATGCTAATGAATTTAACTCGTATAAGAAGTGCCCAGTTCAAGGTAAGGAAGAATTTAAATTTTCTTGTTTAAAAATTGGAATTTTAAACTGATGAACAGAATAGATTCAATGACATGGAAGCATGGATCCAGACTGATGAATATCAGAGGGACAGAGGGGTCAGGTGGGTGGAGGGGGAGAGAGTAACCAAAGAACTTATCTGCACATATGCACAACCCAAGGACACGGACAATGGTGGGGAGAGGACTAGGGAGAGGGAGGGGACAGGGTGGAGCGGGTCATTGGGAAGAAAAAGGGACATCTGTAATATTTTAAACAAAAATAAACAAAAAGCAAAAAAAGAAGAAAAAGAAGGAAAAAAAATTGGAATCTTGTCTTTGCCAGAGAGTCAGTGTGCTGATTTTAGAAGTAGGTGACTTACAGGTGAGGATGGAAGGAGCCAGGGAAAAGTGTTTGGAGAGCTATAGAATAGTTGTTCAGGAAAAGCCACTGTGATTATTGAATTTAAAGCTTCAGCAGACTTGCTATTCAGGACTATTGTGTTGCATTTCTGAATATCATAATGTTTGAACTCTATGTATATCCAATGCTTCAGAAACCACTGGAAAAGGTCTTTGAATTACCCTAGGGGTATATTTACATAAGTATACAGAGATATTTGTACAAGACTATACATGCCCTCATCTTTTATCCTAGCAAATAATTGGAAAGATCCTAAATGAACATCAGTAGAGAAGTAGTCAAAAAAATGATCCTCCTATTAAAAAGTATTAGGCAAATCTGTAAGTGAGACAAATAAGATCTCTAAACAATATTAAGTGAAAAATTAAAATACAACAAAGCATGATATTGTAGTGTGTGACCCCTTTTATGCCTTAGAAATTTCCAGAACAATGCCTTAGATACCATTCATTGTTAACTGTGGGTATTTCTAGGGAAAGTGGGAATGGGGATTGTAGGAGGCTGGAGGAAAAGTATTTTTACTGTATTTTAGATCTTCGTATGGTGTTTGAATATTTAGCCTGTGAATGTGTTGCTTTTATTTTTAAATTAAATGATTATTTTAAGACAAAAGAAAGGTGTTTTTTCTTACAATGCCATAATTCTGTTATTCCTATTTTGTTCCTTCACTTCAGAGGCAAGAATTAAGCATTAGAAAGAGGTTCAATTTGGGGCATGATTTTCTAAGTAGAAATTATGTCCCAGTTATCAGTTCCTGGTTCATCTAGTATTCATGTGCACATTTAAAACTCTACAACCTACAGCCCTAGTTTTTCTTTGTCCTATGCCTTGAGGTCAGCATGGCCCGTCCTCTATTTGTTTTTTGAGGGGAGCGGGGACCAGTCCCTCTACGTTGTTTCTCAGTGGACAAGGTAGATTTACTTTGCTTCAGCTGTTCTGATGGTTTTCTCTTTTCCAGAACAGCATGATCCCAACAGGTTTAGCTTGGGAGGACATGTTGCACCCTCTGTACCAGAAGTACAAGAATGCCATCACGTGGGGAGACCAAGATTTATTAAATATTATTTTTTACTTCAACCCAGGTAGGTGGTTTTACCAGAATGTCATTTGTAGAGGACTATGCCCATCTCACACTAGCCAGGTGAGCACATTCCAGCCAGGGCTGCTATTGAGGAAGCCAGAGTTGTGCCT